AAAAAAAACAATCGTATCTTTACTTATATTTAAAACAATACACCTGAAAATATATATAAAAAAGAGACCAGATTGGAGATATGAATGGGCGTAGACAGCACAATGAAAAAAATTCTCTATCTACTATATAACTTTCGTGAAGATGGACGATAAAACTGGGAAACCACACATACACACATAGAGATAAAGGGTGCAAAGGGTACGGATGCAGGGGAGAGAGATATAAGAGCGAAACGGTTGGCAAAGCAGCTTGAAACACGTATTAGTATGATCTAGCGATTACTAAGGCAAAGTACAAATCAAGAGAAATCAACACATTCATTGAGAAGTAATTAATCCTTGATGCGTTGTATTCATTGGTCACACTAATCTTCAGAATCGACAAGAAGAGCGAATTTGTTATTGTTCAATGTTTTTCCTCCTTTCGATGTCTCTTTCTGGAAAATCAACGAAAAATTTACAAGCTTAATGTCAGGCGATTTCCAGGAAAAGTTTAGCGTTTGTTCAGAGAAAAAAGAGCGAAATAGAGTCCAGGCAAACTTTCGCCCTCGTGTTTCTTAAAACCTATTCTAGAACAGCGCGAACTTGAACTTTGCGTATCAAAAACTACATGACGTAAACTACTGATTTTGGAAAAAATTGAAGACCCTCAATGGAGATAGGAACGAGTTGCAGTAGCGCGATTCATGAAGAGCTGCTGGTGTGAGAGAATTAAGGCCGCGCTTAGCGAGGACTCTGGCTAGAGGTGCGGAGAGAAGTTTCGGTCATCTACGGTTATTTTCGTCTAACTTGAGTACTTACCTTAGCAAGAAGGGGACCACAATAATGAAGTAAATACTCCAAAATGGTGTCTTTGCGGTCCATGCCTTATTATTTGATAGTGAATATTAATAAAGGACAAAAAGATAAGTTCTATTACCCGCTCTTCAAAATTAAATCAGTAGGTTTTTGGTTGCGATACGAGATCAATAAAGCCTGAGAGTCATAGAGTACGACAAACTCGAAACATAAGAGATCATATACAATTTGGCACAATTCAAAAAAAAAACAGCAAGGAAAATCACCGATCACGGTATGCAAGTAGATGCAAAGGAAAGATGTGATCAATATAATACCTTATTAGACTTCTTTTTCTCCTTCTTTTTATCTTGTGTCGATGTGGATGATGTTGACGTCGCTGATGCAGCTGCAGGTGCTGTCGTCTTTGCTTCTTTTTTCACGGCAGGCACCGTTGGCTTCTCTTCTATTGTTTCTGGTCTTTCAGGTCGTTCTATTCGTTCTGGTCGATCTTCAGAAGTTTTCGGCAACTAATGTCACAATTACATCGCTGATTTATAAAATTCTGAAACATGAGACGCATACCTCTTTTCGCGGTTCCGCGTCTGATGCCTCTTCTTCACGCGACGCCCTCGGGGTTCTATCTTTATGATAGCTACCACGATTTTTACGTAAAGTACCCGCTCTGCTTCCACGTAACGATGCGTGAGAGCCGTGGTGCTCCTGAAAGTGAACCATTAATACAGAAGTTTACCTAAGACACAAGATGGATGGATCTATGAAAAGGACATACTTTTCGCTCTGGTCGATCTGGCCGTTCATCGTTAATCTGCTTCTGTTCGTTGATTTCATTTTCAGGTCCCACTGATTTATTCATGGCAGCTGAGACTGTAGGAGGCTTTTCCACACCAGAAAAGCTACTTCGTCGATCATTTGGTGCAGCACCGCGATGGTAGCCGCGTCCACCACGGCCACCTCGACCTCCTCTTCCTCTAAACAAAAACAAATGAATAGCACAAGCTAATTTAAGGCAGATATGATTAAACCACTTTCAACACAAGAAAAGTACAAAAAAA